AGAGACCCATAGAGACGAGACCCACAGAGACCCATAGAGACCCCATAGAGACGAGACCCACAGAGACCCATAGAAACCCCATAGAGACCCATAGAGACCCACAGAGACCCATAGAGACCCATAGAGCCCCATAGAGACCCCATGCCACCCCACATCCGCCCCACATCCCCCCCCATAACTCACCCAGCATCCCGGCCCCATGGACCAGCAGCCCCACGGCGCCGCGCTCCCCGTGGGCGCACAGGAATCCGGCCCCACAGATCAGATCCCATAAAGGACCCCAAAGCTCCGCCTCCGCCTGGCAAAATGTGGGGCACCAAGCTCCGCCCACCGCCCCATTGGCCACGCCCACTCTTCCCCTACAAGCCCCACCCCTCAAAGGAAAGGTTGACCAACCAGAAGGCGCGGTAGCAAAGCCAGGTGTTCAAGCTCCGCCCCCTGGAAGCTGCCGTCAGCCAATGGGTCAGCAGCGAGCAGAGTCAGACCTGCGAGGATTGGATGAAGGGTGGGAGGGGGGCGGGGCTTATGGGTATGGGGGGGATGATTGGGGCCCACGGCTGCCCCATAGGAACCCCATAGAGACCCCATTAAGACCCATAGAGCACCATAGGGACCCATAGGGACCCATAGGGACCCATAGAGACCCATAGAGACCCATAGAGACTCATAGGGACCCATAGAGACCCATAGAGACCCATAGGGACCCATAGGGACCCATAGGGATGCATAGAGCCCCATAGAGACCCATAGGGATCCTTAGAGACCCATAGAGTCCCATGGAGCACCATAGGGACCCATAGAGAACCATAGGGACCCATAGGGACCCATAGGGACCCATAGGGACCCATAGGGATGCATAGAGCCCCATAGAGACCCATAGGGATCCTTAGAGACCCATAGAGTCCCATAGGGACACCTAGAAACCCCATAGAGACCCATAGAGACCCATAGGAACCCCACAAAGCCCCATAGAGCCCCATAGTGTCCCAGTGTCCCCGCCCCCAGCTCTCACCAGCCAATAGCATTCTTGCCGTCGCCATGACGTCACGTCCGCCGGAAGGGGCGTGGCCAGCGGTGGGGCGTTTCTTTGGCCCCACCTTCAAGAAGGTCTGGACGGCTTCGACCAATCGGGGGCCAGCAAGGTAGAGGCGGGAACCGGGAGTGTCCAATGGGGCGCCGCATGCTTCCAGCAGCCTGTGGGGGGGCGGGATCTATGGGGCTTCATCTATCTCTATGGGTCTCTATGGGTCTCTATGGGTCTCTATGGGTCTCTATGGGGGCTCTATGGGGTCTCTATGGGGTCTTTATGGGTCTCTATGGGGCTCTATGGGGCTCTATGGGTGTCTATGGGTCTCTATGGGGTCTCTATGGGGCTCTATGGGGCTCTAAGGGGCTCTATGGATCTCTATAGGTCTCTATGGGTCTCTATGGGGCTCTATGGGTCTCTATGGGGCTCT